GTTGATGGTGAACCTGGTTTTTCACAGGAAATATTAAGAGCTCTAAAAGAATACAGTAACAGAAACGGGGAAACATTGTGTGCTTTTATGCTAGATTCAATGTCTATTCGTAAGCATATAGAATTTGATGGTAAAAGATTTCATGGTACGGTAAATGTGGGCGTTCCTTTAGAAGATGATAACGCACCGCTTGCAACAGAGGCCTTAGTTTTTAACTTAGTATTTTTAAAATCCCATTTAAAACTTCCTGTTGGATATTTCTTTGTTTCTGGTTTAACAGGAAGTCAGCTGGGCGCTTTAGTAAAGCAAGGGTTGACTTTACTGCATGATGTTGGAGTAAAAGTATCATCACTGACTTGTGATGGAACAGAATGTAATATTTCGATGGGTAATATTTTAGGCTGCAATCTAACAAAAACAGAATTGATTACCTACTTCCCCCATCCAATTACGCAAGATCCTGTATTTTTCTTTTTAGACCCAAGTCATATGATAAAACTTGTAAGGAACGCATTTGGCGATCTTAAAATTTTAGTTGATGGCGATGGAAATATTATTGAATGGCGATACATTGAATCTTTGTATAAACTTCAAACAGAAATTGAATTAACCCTTGGTAATAAACTGACTAAGTCACATATTGAATATTGGAAACAAAAAATGAAGGTCCAATTGGCGGCCCAGTTACTTAGTACTTCAGTGGCTGACTCTTTGAAATTCCTCTCAGACAACCATGATGACAGATTTATAAACTGTTCTGCAACTGTTAAGTTTATAAGATTATTTAATGATCTTTTCGATATTTTAAACTCTAGGAGTATCAATGAGAAATATAAAAAGCAGGCACTATATCCCAAGAATATCGAAAGTACAAACAAATTTTTGCAAGAGGCAAAAAACTATATCTTACAGTTAAAGAATAATATGGGTAAGCCAATTTGTGACACTAACCGAAAAACGGGTTTTATTGGATTCTTGATATGCATAGACAGTGCTATGGGTATGTACAATCGATATGTCCTTCATAGTTCATCAAATGCCCAACTGAAATTTCTTCCAATGTACAAAATAAGTCAGGACCACTTGGAGCGCCTCTTTGGTTATATAAGGTCACGAGGCGGCCATAATAACAATCCAACATGTATCAACTTTTAAAAGAATACTGCTCCATAAGGAGTTGGAGGAGAATGAAAGTGGTAACGGTCTGATCCTAGACCGATCGTTAATTTTTGACGTGAAGTCAAAACAAAATGCGCTAGTCGCATTAAACAGTACATTACCAGAATGGCGTACCTTGGAGAAAAATGCTAAAGAATCTCTCTCAAGTATGGATGAAGAAGAAGATTTATTTGTTCCTTCTTGTCAGTCGGACATAGAATTTAATATTGTAGAATATATAGCTGGTTTTGTTGTAAGGTCAATATCTTCTAAATTATTGTGTGAAGATTGTGTCCAATGTTTAAGAAAGGACAAGAACAATATTTTTTTAAGTTTAATTGTAAGTAAGGATAGGGGAGGGTTAGTACAACCGTCCGATAGTGTTATCAAAATATGCAAAATTTGTGAAAGTTATTTCAAGAGTAAGTTTGGAGTTTTTAATAACGATCAGAATTGTCTAGCTGATAAAAACATTATTAGTAAAATGACAAATTACATACTAAGCAAGTGTATAGGAATAAATTTATTTCCTGGAAACTTACATTTCTCGGAAATTGAACTGGATGATAATCATTTTTGTTTGGTTATAAAATTAATCGCTAACAAGTATTTTTCGACAAGATTACACTATTATTGTAAGCTAAGAAATGAAAGCCTTCATAAAAGTAAAGTGAGACAACATTTGAATAAAACTGTTATTTTTTTAGGCCAATAAATATGTTGTTTAAGTACTTTTACTACGTTATTTTACACCCAAAATCACCTACAGAATAACAGAATGCTGTAAAAATAGTTTTAATTCGTTGCTATACCCTGTCAGTTCTGCATAATCAACCCTATTTCTCATTATGAAAATCAACGTATCAAACTAGTAATTATTTATCCTTTATAAAAATAATAAACAATGGTTCAAACACCCTATACTGTCAAAAGTGATCCTTTGTAGTCTATGTAGGCTACTGCAGTTTCATTCCCGGGGGAACTTCATCAGGCTTAATGACATCAAAACTTCATTCCATAGGAAGTCGTCATGGTAAAAACCATTGAACCATTGTTTATTACTTTACCAGTGATCCGGAGGCTAACAACATGAAAACTTTATAAAAATATAAAGTCTTGATTAAGAATGAAACTTAAGTACTCTACAACACTTATACATATAGAGGCGGCAACATTTTATATTTATTGGTAAATGAAATGAAACACAACAAATAAAACAAAATAATGTTCTGGCCGGGCAGCAGCGGATTACGGCGGCGGCGCGCGGCGCGGCGATCTAAAAGACCGTTTTGCCGCCTTGCTTCTACCTGGAATTATGAAAAAACCAGTCACGATAGAAAAAAAAGTTTGGAATAAAAAATTAAATTCATTTATTCCTCTACAACTTTCCCGCTGACAAAATGTCTCTGACCAAAAAATAAAATTTTTTTACAGAACAACTTTTTCATGTCACGTTTTAAAAATCAGAACGACATGTGTGTAATAAAAAATTCATACAACGATAAATACAACTATTATCAATGTAAAATTTATACCATCGTTATCATTAGAAAATTTGCTAAAATCATGCCAAATTTCATCGATATCCTTCAACATTAACTGTGGGTAATGACAGTGTATTTGTCGCGCGATTTCACCGTGGAGTGAGCGCCCGGCTCGAAGATTTCGGGTTGGGTGTCGGGCCAATATGGCGAATCCTGCTTCACTGTAAATGCATAGGATAATATCCGTCTGTCTTCTCTATTGTATTGTGTGCTCGTTGGTGGAACCATTTAGCCTCAAGTCGTTTACCACCACACTACAAAGGAGAAGGCCGAGCACCGAGCCCTGTGACAATCCATGTGAGATATTCCTGATGCAGGAGCCCATTATAATTGAAACTATACTTGCCTGCGATTTGCCAACACAAGGACTTGAGCACAATTCCGCCCACACCATACTTTGCTAGTTTGCCTATCAGTAGCTTATGAGACACACCACATCAAAAGCATTTCTCAGATCGCAGAGTCTAAGGACGATTGACTCGTTATGTTCGCAGGCGTCTGTAATTGTCTCAACAAGGCTCATCATGAGGTGGTTTGTGGATCTCCCCCGTCTAAATCCATGCATGCTGTGCACTCGAGAGAAGGCTGTTGATCTCAAGATAGGCCAAGAGTTGTCTTTTCATGACTGTCTCCAGCACCTTAGAGAAAACTGGGAGTATGGAAATGGGACGGAAGTTTGATAGAAGCTATGGGTCTCCCTTCTTAAAAATAGGTATAGTTTTTGTCATCATTAGGGAATCAGGAAAACCCCCACACTTTATTAAGACAATTATGTTTACTAACCGAGTCAGGGGCTTTAGTATAAACTCAATATTGTGCTTTTTAAGATGGAGCAAGAGACACCGCTTATATCTTGGCTGTTTTAATCCTTAAACCCCCTAAGTATGCGAAGAATCTTAGGGCCCTATTACACTAGGTCACCAGGCGACGTCACCGGTGGCGTCGCCGGTGACCTGACTGGTTGGTGGGCACTGGTTCTTACGGCGCCTATTACACTAGGGTCACCGGTTGCGTCATTAGCCTTTGGTGACTGACCGGTGACTCTGCCCCGTGACCAGACGAGTAACCACTGGTGACCAAGATTTGCCGCTGGGTATTGAATCAAATGGCACATATTACACACAGTCACCACGGTTGCGTCACCACTGTATTTTTGTGTTCTATGCAGGTTCGGATTGTTTAATGCCAGTGTAGTGAGTGGATGTAATGACGGAAAAATATGAAGAAATGCTACTTATTGCTCTTTTGTTGAGGAAAAGGAGGAGACGAGCTTTGCACTCAATCCTCTTGGTTTTTACCTATCTTAGTATCTTTTTCACTACTACATTTTACACTAGACTGGCTTTCTTTCACTGAGTCGTCTTCCCCTTTTTCCTTCCCTCCATCACTTCCCCCCTTATTCACTAACTTTTTATCACTAGGCATTTTTTAAACTGAAGAGTATTATAACTGAAATAACTATATAACTTAACTATAACTATATAACTTAAACTGAGTAATTTAATGGAACATAAGACGCGGATTAACAAAGCACTTTGTCCTTCAACGAGGTGACAGCGCTGAATATATGTAGACACTGGAGTGGAGGAACTTTGGGGGTTGGTCTCACTCCTGGTGACTTCTCTGGTGTTGAGGCTGGCTGCCCGTACAGTAACCGATGACGTCGCCTGGTGACCAAGTGTAATAGGGCCCTTACTATCACTCACCTCTTTCAGTCTTTCCAATGTATGTGTAAGGTGTGTATGTGTGAGATGTCCGTTAGGGCCCTATTACAGTTGGTCACCAGGCGACGTCACCGGTGGCGTTTAACTTAGTTTATGTTATTTCCAGGCTGTTTTTGACCAATTAAAGCACTGGGTAATACCTCTCTGCAAAATACTATTTCAAAAATGCTTACCTATGTATACAGTAGATAAGGAAATTATCCTTAAAGAAGTCTTCAAGAATAGTAAGAGCTACATCTTACATATCTTACATTCTTGTCTTCTTCGTGATCAGCCGATCGGAGAATCGTCAATTTTCATCTGTAGCAGGGTCTTCTTTATTCACGAGGTGAGCCGTGAGAAAGTGTGGTCAGTGTCACTTATAAGGGATTTGCCTATATTTCTGGTGATTTTAACCAAATTGCCTTAATAAAATCGATTGTGAGTTCAAAAAAAAAAATTGTTTAAAAATCAACGCTTAAACCATTTAGCAATTCATCACATATGCCAATGACTCTACGTTACTTATTGTATATTAATAATTTTCCCGCCTTTATTGATGTTTTTTTCCTTTGTTTGGCGCCGTGGCGGTAAGACGACGTTGCCCTTGCACATCCTGGCTAAGGTTCTCACTGTGTATTGTGGTGTTTGTTAAACGAGTTTTTAAATAATATAGAAGTGATACTGCAATTTTTCAACTCTTTCCACAGGGGGCTATCAAGAATATTTTATTTTCGCTATCTTACTGTCACTGTCACTCTTGGAAGAGGTAGTACAGTTAGTAGTTCAAAGGGGACCATCACTCAGTTGGACACGCATTTATTTCACTTGACATTTGAGGAATCAAAATTACATAGAAGGCGAAAATGGAGGGGTTTGATGATGCTGGGCTCTTTTTCTCGGACAACTTCGGTGATGATCAACCAAATGCAGGACAAGTAAATTTACAGGCTGTCAAAAAGAAATTTAAAGATTTTTTACGTCAGTTCCATGAAGGAAATTTCAACTACAAGTACAGGTAAGTTTAACATACTTTTGCATCATTTGGTGTAGCCTAGCCTAGAGAGTTAAGGTTTTTTAAATCTTAATATCATTTCCGATGAGGGTACAGTTCCGTAGAGAACCTGCAATGTATTACCAGTTTGGTTATTACCTATAGGCCCATATTGATATTATAGCGATTAGAATTATGTTCGATCCTATCGCTTCTAAATGGTCTGTTTACATTTGTATTGATGTTTAATAAATTAAACTAAGTTTAACTCTGAGCATATTTTAAGGAATTTCCACTGGGTGATAGCGGTTCTGTACTGACCGGGGGGGTTTAAAATACCCCTCAGCAAAAATGGGGGTCTGGGGTTACCCCTGGAAAACTTGAGCATATATTAAAGTGAAAATCAGACATTTCTATACACCTTTTAATGAATTTTCCAATTACCGGTAGGCTATATTTGCTTGTAAATAAATAGGCTAGTCCATATTAATCTTACCGTACTTCATTACATACATCTTTGGCCAAATTCATAGCTCAATTTCAAAAGTGTACTAATTACCGTACTACAAACATTAAACAATTTGTGAACACAAACATGTTTAAAATAGGCTATCCATCCACGTAAAACCTAACACTAGCCTAGGCCTACAATATAAAATCTCAAAATCATAACCATAATTATTGTGGATTATTTAGGCCCACTGGATACTCGATACTGTGTCAACGTAGTTCAGTTCCGAGGCAATGTTTTAATTTTCGGCTTAGCTTTAGACTACGACTAGGTACACAAAAAAACCTCAGGCAACTTTTGAGGCAAAACTTATTTGCGCGAAACTCCAGCCGATTACGTGCGATCGCCATTAGCGTTTAACGGCAACAATAGGGCATAGACTCCCGCCAATAAATTCAGTGATGATTTTTTTAAAAGCTCTAAAACATGAAAAGAGGTCCTGGAACGCCATTCCCCCTCAAATCGAGCATTGTATGCAGTTATAAAACTACAGTACACACATTGTATTCTAAAAACTGAACTAGGCTATAAGTTAAGCCATAAATTAGGCCTAAGCATGATATTAAAAATGAGGGCGAGCCCGACTTAGCAATGTCTAATCCATCGATGTATATAACCTAACTGGATCGCGCTCAGCTGGTAAACGAAAACGGTCCGCCGCCGCCGCGCCGCTCCCCCCCACCACAAGTGGGCAACCGCAGTGGGCCATAGCATTGAAGTAGCATTGTGACCACCGACACATCGCACTTTTTTACTTCCTTATTGTCACCAAAATGTTTAAATGAATTTCTCTTTTCGTGTATGGTATCGTATGTAATTTTTTCTCATAGGTACATTATCTAAACTATAATTATAAGGACCCGGAACACATATTTAAAATTGAACTTTCTTTTTGGTAGTCTTGGATTTATAACACAGTTTTGATGGTATGTATATGCATCGATATGGATTATTTTATTCAGTCAGTTGGGTTATATAGTACATCAGTTGACGTTAAATTATATTATATAACATTAATTGTTCACTCTCACAGTATTGAGAAAAACTTCAGTAGGCCTACCGGTATTGAATTCCCAAGTGTAGAATAATCAAAGGAAATAAAACTTAACTTTTATAGTTCTGATATAACTTAAATTAAATCTAACCAACAAAACAACTTTTACAAATAGAAATCATTTGCTAGACAACAATCATAAATTTGAAAGATTTTCAATAATTTGCTAGACGTGGCTAAACAAAATAAGTTTATTTAGTTTCTGCCGAACGCCGAGGTTTGAAACATTACTTTTTAAGGTTTTTTCTTTTGACACTTTATGACAATATACTTTAGAAAACAACATGCTTATCATTTTAATGAGCATTAGATCATGATTCTCTTCACCAAGATCTCCGTTTGATCTGTGGCCTCGGAATACATTGCCAGCAAACATCCTTGATGCCAAAGCACAATTATAGGCATTCATTTTAGCCCAGTTGGTTGCAGCAAAATTTCTGAATTGATTAAACAAAAACTTTATAATCTTAAACACATCTGACGTGGCTCTGACTAGTTTACCCCTGTTTACATGCTCTGTAAAATGTGTATATGGGCTTAAGTTGTGTTCGTCATCAACCAATAGATTTGTACATTCCTCACATTCTAGTTTATTTATAATTTTCCTTGTCACAAAACCACATTTATAGTACAATGCGTAGTCCTTAAATGTACTATTAGTATCCTCGCAAAGATTAATCATAAGTTCAAAGTCGTCGTCGTTGTCTGCGTCGTCAAAAAATTTATAAGTTAGTATGTAATTAAATTTTAGATCAGTTAGTAGTTTATCAATCAAAATGTGAATTGTGTTGATGTTAGTAATGAAACCGAGAGCAAATGTCTTTCTAGAGTGTTCTAAGATGGGGACGTTTTCAATTTGTAAACTTTTTTTAAATAGTTAAAATTTTGTCTAAGATCATATTAATGTACATAAGGTTTTCTTTCTTTATGGGGGATTTGAAATTCTTCCCAAACGGGTCTCTACTGTTGAAAATGTCAAAGAATTGGTCAATTATTCGAATAAAATCGATGGTTGGTTTACAACCTACAAAATTGGGATGTTCCTTCATTAACAAAAATTCTAAAGCGTCAGCAACGCCAGAGCTCAACGTTTGAGCTGCTATTTTTACGTTCATTTTCCTGTTTTTGTAACATATATGCTTGTCAGACAACTTGTTAGCCAATGCTAATCCTTCATCTTTTTGCAAAGAATTAAGATTTTGTATATACTTTTAACTAACTGCGACACACCTCTGCGGCATGATGTAGAACTTTCATTAGACATAACAAAAAATACCACCACTAACATCACGAGTACGACAGTGATTACACATAGGATGTAAACAGTGCACACATGCAGAAGTCAACGCACGAGACAGTCGCCGGCGCCGCGTGGTTGCCCACCGGTGGTGGGGGGAGCCTACTGTGCGCCGGCTCGTTTTCAGCGCTGTACTCTCGTGGCAGGGCGCGATCCAGTTAGGTTATATACATCACATCGATGGTCTAATCAACCAAAATACGTGGTTATTTTTGTAGTAAAAGTAAGAAATTGTGTAGCATTCAATTTTTAATTAGGGTGGAGTGGGGTAAGTGTGATAGCCAGCCATCTTGTTTTTGGGAATCGCTGAAAAAATTGGTTTTGTCATAGAAATAATGTTTGACATATAAGGTAGGTATCTAGTTACATAGTTTATTATCAATTTAGTAACTACTGTATGTTGATTTTATTGGCTTTTATAAGTCCGACATTTTAGGTCAAAATCGAAGTTTGTTCGGAAATTTTGTTTAATTTGTAGTTATTTTAAATTTTGACCAATTTACATCAAACTCGGATTTTTAAAGAGCCTTAAAGCTAAACTTTTAGAAAAAAAATATTTAAAACGTGTACAAATTTATCATTAAATTTAAAACCACATGTCACACTTACCCCGGAAATTTTTCAATGGCTGGGGCAAGTGTGACACCGACACCCGGGGCAAGTGTGATCTGATGTAATCTGTGTGATCTGATGCAAGTTTTTACAAATTTCCGCAGATTTGTACGTCTTTATTTCATTTGTAAATATCTCAAAAAGTAAGAATGATAGGGACTTAAATCAAAATGTTCCTGAAAGAGCACTAGGCCCTAACGGGATATTTATTACAATTGCCCCATTTACCATTAAAAGAGATACAGGATTTTATAGAGGCCGCTATCACACTTGCCCCGACCCCATGGGGCAAGTGTGACAGCTGGCAGGCATTTTTTGTAAGTAAAAAAAAAAAAATAGTGCAAGGATAAGTTTATCACATTGGTTTTTTTTTACCAATAAAGATATTTCCAAAGTTTAAGTGTTAAAAATTTCAAGTTTCTAGCTTTAGAAATAACCTAGAAAAAAATTGTAAAGATGAACTTTATGATTTTTATGTCACACTTACCTCACTTCACCTAAGTAGGTACTCTTTTTAAAAACCACTCAAATGAAAATGCTCTATTATGCACTGATTTACAACTACCTATTAGCTACATTTCATTCCCTGGTAGTTAGATTATACCTTTTACAAATGAATTCCATCAATACTTTGCACAAAATCTTAAACAAAAAAGTAAATGTTTTAACTAAATTTTAGCTTATTTTAACAATGTTTTATGTCAACTAAAAACTTCTTACCGTATCGTTAATTAACACAGGGCATGTGAGTAGGCTTAAGTTATATTTAAACTTTACTAAAAATCATAGTTAATTAAAAGTAGGCCTAGTAAAATGTAGGAACAGAATGCTTTTGGAATTTGACATAAATTTGGCATAAATTCCGATACATTTAAAATGTGAATCATTAAAAAAATATGCCATAGTTTGGCCAGCATGGCAGCATATCTGAAAATATGCAAACCAACTGCTGTTCTTTATATTAGAAGGTTTCAACTGACTACTATAAGATCCCCGTGCGTAGAACGTGCACACAGCTAGTATATTTATACATTTTATATGTTGTTACCACATTAGTTTTGTATCAAAAATTTAAATTTTAGTACAAGTAGTAGGCCTGCATGACGCGACGCGGCGTACCGCGACCACATTAGTTTTGTATCAAAAATTTAAATTTTAGTACAAGTAGTAGGCCTGCATGACGCGACGCGGCGTACCGCGGCTGGTATCCACTATGGTTTCCCAAAACTACAAACAAACTATAGCAGTTAAAAATTAAAAAAAATATATATAATTTAGAAGATTCAACTCTTTAGCTACCAAATCCACAGTTTTTTTAACTTACCTGACCAAAAAATATAAAAAAATAGTAGCCACTAACTTTTTCATGTCATATTTCAAAACTCATTTAGAAGTATACCGACTTTGTTTGAATATTTAAATTAGAAAATATTAACCTTTAAGCTAATAATAAGCATTTGTAGCTAACTTTTTGTTGTTGTTCTTTGTATTAACCCTGACCTGTCCAATTCCTTAAGGCAAAGGACTACGGACGGAGAGATCATGTATCATGTACCTATGTATCATGTTGTTGCAATTGGAACTAATAAGTTTCCTAGACTTATTGACTTCACTCATCATATGAAGTTTCAACCATTTACCTTTAGTCTAAGTAGTCTAAATAATATCGAGTTTATGGAGAGGCACACAAGTCTTGGTGCCGTTTTCATCGACATCTAAACGACAAATAAACCCATAAAAAACTTTATTCCAATGTCCCCTGGGGGACAGCAACAGTAGGCCTAATACGTTTTCCAACAAGAGTGTACGGGCGTTGGGAGTGGTAAAACAACGTTGGGGTGAGGTGAGGTGAAAGTGTGACAGAAACACAGCTAGCGCTCTCTCTCACTCCTACTCCAAGCTTCAAGAGAGGAGAGGCTTGCACAGGGCTATTCAATGAGCTCGATTTAGTACACGCAGCGCGCGTAGTGGCCAACGCTGGAACTAACACTCCCAGCGCCTGTGAGCCATGCTGTTAGCACACCCTTTAGCTTGAATAAGTAGGCTAATGGAGAATTTTCAAGTGTGCCATGATGTCAGACAGACCTGGTGCACCACACCTAGTTAATTTTTGTATGGTAATTTTGTACTTTTCTTTTCAAATGCGCTGTTAGCTAGTACATTTGTCTCCCCAATTCTGGGTTTTCACCCCTCAACAAAAAAAGGGAGTGTCAGCGTTGTACCATTGTCTCTGGTAGATGTGGCTGAAAAGTGTCAGGAGCGACCCAGGGCGAATATTCCTCTGTCTTATAACTTATGTTGTTCCATTTTTTTGACTTGGTGTCTGGGTGTAACCAAACCATTTCCTCACCTCACAAAAAAAAATTTAGTTTAAAAAACAAAACTTGTCTCACCTCTGCTCAGTTGTAATAAAATCTCCAGTCATTTAAAGCATTCCATGCATCAAACAGCAATAGAATGTAAAATGTTTTCAATACCGGTAACACACAATTTCACACAAATTAGGTAGGTACTCTTGCCACATTTCATGACGAGTTTGCTTAAATAACTCCTCAGCTCAGCTCAAACTAATACAATAGGCCAAGCTTATAGTACCGGTATTCACAATCAAATAACAAAAGCTCTTTCTTACAAAAATTTTTATTTGTAGCCTATATGTATTTATTGAAAAATTTAAATTATATTATATTACCAAAATTTATATTTATATTAAAAATTTTTATTAAATTACCAAAACCATGCCTCACACCGACCTCACTGGGATACCAACCCATACCCTCATTTGTATGATATATATATATGTCTGTTTACAAGATGAATGATATTCCCTCAATTTACTCTTGGGTCAAAGATTTAAATGCTGCTGAGAAAGCAATTCCCCAATGCCAGGCCTGGAACCTCTAACCAGCTGATACACTAGCAGCGAATAGGGTCATTTGTCGCCAATTCGTAGTTGACCACAATAGCAATAACGACACCAATGCTGCCCATGAGAGCGAACAGCAACTTGCGCCAACCAATGAAAGCGTCACCGGGTAGCAAACGATGCTGCACTCCTCTGAAACCCATAGCCTACCTCAAAATACAAGCAATTAAAAAGAGATTGTTTTGCTACTCCTAGTCTTTGAAGTTTTTCAAGTAGAGTAGAATGCCTAACACTGTCGAATGTCATAGATAGGTCCATAAAAATACCAGTTTATCACAATTTATTACAACTGATCTTCCATTCCAAAATCAATGCTGATTATCATCTAAAAGATTAAATTGTTCTAAAAATTTTGAAAATTGAATGTATACTGCTTTTTCATATGCAAGTGAAATAGCAGGGTTGGTTGTGTGCTTCTGTCGTCTCACATTGTTTACCCTTTTTTAATTAGATGAGTGAACGAAGTGAACGAATCTATGTATCGTGTATAGAGGAGTCGAAGAAAAGTTGTCCGCTGGAGTATGTGTGTGACTGTGTTAGCACCTAAAACTCAAGAACCGTTGCACTTATAGTGTTAAAATTTTGCACAAATAGTTATGACACCAGTGTAAAGACACCATTAAAATTCTAGACGATTCCGCTCAGTAGTAATTATCAAATACTTAAAAAACATTTTTAAATTTGTCCCATAAGAATAACATTAGGAGCTACCTTCTTCTTCTTTTTATTTGTTTACGTTTTGCGACCAACAATTTTGTTGTCTACTTAAGACAGAGAGAACGACTTTTACTCTAAGCTCTTTCATTCATGGAGTAAACAGTTTGACGTCTATGAATATATATCATTATAATTTCACAACTTTCAGAAAAATTAAAATCCATATTTTTAGCCCCTGAGCTGTGATATAACTAAAAAATTGTTTTTACCTTTTGTCTACAGCTCAATAAGCTGTAACTTCCGTTACGGCCGTTTCGGCATTAACATGCCATCATCAGACGTCTTCGGCTGAAGCAGCGTCGTCACAGTAGAAACATATAACACGAACACATTTTACGAATACAAATACACGAAAATAAAACTAACAGGCCTGTCGCACACAGGTTACCGATTGACATGATCAGAGCTAGATGCCGACTGGAGGTTAATCCTGCATCGTTGCTGGTGTAGCGGTGTTATCAGCTGACCTTTGTACTCCTGCCTTTGGTCTATTGTCCTGGTTTAAAATGCTGTTGAATATGAAGTGTGATTTATATTGCAGTTTCTCATTTAAAATTGTGTCATCTAAACTATTTTCTTTAAAAGCTCTGTAAATTTCATATTCTTCCAGTGTATCCAGTTTATTTCCTTTCTTGCTTGTGTGGAGTATCTCTAGGCCATTATTCAGATCGTACATGTAATGATTTTCGTCAACCAGGTGTTGTGCAAAGGAGGATTTTTGTTTGTCGGTTCTTGGGCATGGATGATGTTCTCTGTATCTAGTTCCGAATGTCCGTCCAGTTTTTCCTATGTAAAAGCTTGGGCAACTTGCACATTTAATTTTGTACACACCTGACTTCTCACTTTTGTCAATAATACTATTCGACACATTTAATTTGTTAATTGTCTTGTTGTTTGTCTTAAACGCTAATTCAATACCATGTTTCTTCAACTCTTTTGTAAGTGTATACTGAATTGAGTGTGAGTATTCTACACACACATACTTCTTCTTTTGTTGTTGAACATCTCCAGATTTCTTATCATTATTATTTGTTTTCTTACTTAATAATCTGTCAATCATATTTTATAGCATATAGACTGTTAAATTTTCCCATGTCAGACGAAAATTATAATAAAGAACTAAATATTATCAAGCACATAGCATCATCAAATGGTTACGACAAAAATATGATTGACAGATTATTAAGTTTGTTGTTGACTGAGATTTGTTTTTTTTTAAGAGGTTGGCAGCCTCTTTTAACCTTGCATTTGCCCGTCCACATAGACTAAGCGCCCGTGCGTGGATCGTTTACAGCAAAGCAATTGGTGAGCCGGTACAGTACAAAGGTGAACTGTACTGATAAAATTTAGTGGCAGTGACCAGGATCCGAACCCACGACATCGCTGCCTTGGGCCTGAAGTCCGCGTGACGCTACCGACTGAGCCACCAACTCACCATTATTTGCCCCGACTCATGGGTTGATTTGCCCATACAAATAACATTATTGTGTTCACCAGAGACACCAGTAAGTATGCTAGGTGTGGGTGGACTCATTCATTATAGCGCTCATGTTCACTCATCCCGTTACGCGCAGAATAAGCGTACTACTAGTTTTATAATTTATTTGTCACGATGCTGTAATGGAGCTCTTGTATGTTCTTAATATGAGTAAGCTAAATATTTTAGGGTTGTTTTGGTATAGGCCTAGAAGACTTTTTTCAGCACCAGTTTAATCAGCTTGTAGGTATTTAAAGGAAGGAAGTCATGTAAAATTTGTTCATGAGAAACATCTCACACACGTGCTAGGATAAATTTAACTAGGCCTAGCATAGATGCCTACCTAATATAGAATTTAAAAAATGTGTTAATCTTGAACTGTAGTAGCCACTGATAACAGCTTTTTAAAACTGTGTTTTTGATTCAATGAAGAAATGAAGTGTTTACCAATATATTTTCTATGTTTTCACCACTAATTTATTTTCAGAGATGCTTTGAAGCGACAATACAATCTTGGTCAGTACTGGCTCGAGATAAACATTGAGGATTTGGCAAGTTTTGATGAAAATCTTGCTGACAAACTGTACAAACAACCAACTGAACATCTTCCAGTGGTACGTAGCCTGCTTAGTCTTACAATAGCAAATTTACAATACACCTAACCTAAATGCAGGAAACCCATTATAACTTATGCCTTTCATTTTCAGATGCTGGTTTTGAACATTATAAAACGAGGCTCTGTTTATCTGGATGTTTGTTATTGTTATTCCATCTAATAGAGGTGTCATACTACCATTGCATAAAACTACCTGTACGAATCTACCGCAGGCCATCTTGCATCGTTAAGAATGTTAGGATAATTCTAGAGTACACTTTTCCTTACCATACATGTTGTATTCCAGATATCCTAAAAAGTATATGGAGTGTGCTTTTAGCGAATTTCCCTATAGGGAAGTAGCTATTACCGTAGGTGGCATGGTAAGACCTAAGCCCGGGACTGATTTACTTTTTCATTTTGATGTCCCCAGAGGCCGAAAACACCATTTGTTCAAACTTTTTATATGTGTATATATATATATATATATACCTATATATATATATACCTATATATATATATATATATATATATCTATACTTATATATATATATATATATGTGTGTAGATTTATATATATATGTGTCCGTGAACACGATAACTTGAGTAATTGTTGTCCGATTTTGATGAAATTTGGTTTGAAGGTGTAAGGCAGAATAAACTTGAATGAGTTGGCGAACCAGCATGATCGGACCATGGGAACGGGGTTTTACGGGGGGTTTTATGGGGTAAAAATTGGTTTTTCTAATTTTTGACCTTCTAAACACAAAATTTCCCAATTTTTCTCCAGACCTTTTTAAAAAACAAGTAATTTAGTATGTCAAAGTGTTTTTGTACAATTATTGGTTACGGAGAAAATTCAAAAAATTGTTATTTTAAAATTAGTATCAAACTTTGTAAATTTATTTATTTTATCTATATAATTAATACGCTACATGAAACTTTGTCGGTTGAACTCCTCCGCCATTTCTTAACCGATTTTATCCATTGACGTCTCATTGGAAAGACCGTGTCGCGTAGATTTGCAAACTGGCCTTACATTTTTGAAAAAGTCCCTTGGGCTCTGCCCCAGTGGCTTTGAAAGTTCCCATGTTATCCTTATAGAGAACTTAATTGTTTACATTTTGATCAGCTGTATAATTTAATTGCTGTTACTTATTTTTTAATTCAATGAAACGCATTGAGTACCTTTATTTACTATTTGAGTTTGTGTAAACATAACCCCCAAGACGGATCGTGTTAGTATGGTTGTATCTTAAATTTGTGTATTTGTGTCTTTGTTTTGTGTTGCTATGACGGATCGTGTTAGCATGATTGTAACTTAAATTTGTGCATTTATCGTTGTTTTGGGTAGCTATAATTTGTTTATTTGTTGTTTTTTCTGTTGAATGCCTCCGACGCGACGACAACGAAACATACAGGAGGCGTAATCGTGATAACGACCGCAGCAACAGAACAGTGGCGCGTAATAGGCTTAACTCATCACAGTAAGCACCTGACCCTGGACAATCTCAACTTTTAGGTAAAAAATGCGCCATAACACTATCCCAAAACGACTTTTCGTTCTCAATTGGCCCTCTATCAATGACCGGTGTTGCCTGTACAGCGAGGCATTTTGAGAAGGAGAAAACCGGCCGGAATGCTTTAAGTTTATCAATAACGAAGATGAACATGGTCTGAATTACACACCGGTAATCTTTGAGTTGACTATTTTACACTCATTGTAAATATGACTGACTGTTATTCGTTTTAAAATAACTCCTGTAATACTTTGCAATTGCTCGAATTCGAGCAACATGTACACTAGTACTAAGTAATTACGTAATATTTTACCAAAAAACACAATTTTTTTACCCTCCATGTAGCAGCAAGCATAGGTACTCATAAAACCTAATGTTAATTAAATACATTTAACTGAAAATCAATTCAGACAAATGGAAATTCGCTTAGTCCGCAGGTTTGTTGCGGCGGGGGTATTTATTTTTATTATTAAAAATATTGTTTTAAATAAGTAAGTTCAACATTGAAATGCAAAATTGGTGGTGGTAGACAATAATAATAGACCTAAATCAACCTAGAAGTAAATGAAGAAAAGAAAAAAAAATATGAACCAACCTTTCAATATTTTAAGCAAAATTTCAAAAAGAAGGTGATTGGATTGCTTATTGGTTCTAGAGGAACATTATCAAATTTGTTTGTGAACTTTTGGAAATAATATGATTTGGACAGATTCTTTTTGAAAATTATTATCCATGAAACATTAAGAGGTTCATTGACTATAATGAGAAATCATTTATATGGCAAACATCAAAATTAATCAGTTGTATAGATTTTATAATCCTTCAATATTTTAAGTGTATATTTTTTTCTGTGTCATTGACAACCTTATTTTTTTTAAGGCAGACGTGTTTATTAAATAAATTCTTTTCTTCCTAGAAATGATAAATGAGGTTGTAAAATCAATTATAACCTACATTTGATGATGGTAATCTATATAAATAAAATTAGAGTTTTGTCTGTACATTGCTCAGAATTATATATTTTTTGGTTGTTTTTAAGTTTTATACATCAAAGAAGCCAAAACAAGTCGATCTCAATTTCTATCTGTCTGTCTGTCACGGCCCAGAAGGCATTATACGCGGCCTTCTCCTGAAAAACGAGAACATCGATCGGGATTCAAATAGTCTTTTTGTATTCACTGGATTGGCGAGAGTGTCTTTAGCCATTAAAATATGACCTCACTACTTTTGAAATCAAATAACGGACGTTCAAAAACCCAATTTTGTGCGATTTTTGTCAAGTTTTCTCTTAATGTTTGCCACATTTGCATGAAATGCTCATCTGTTCGGAGAATACGACATCTATGAAGTAACTCATCTATCTAGGTAGTTTGTATGGATTATTTTTTTCTATCTTTCACTGATATGTTTACATTAAATGTTAAATCCAAAACCAAGTGAGAATAAAAACGTGGAAGCAGACCCTGAAACAGTGCTGTACACAGAGTTTTTCCTGCATATCTGAAAAAATGCACACTAAATATGCAAACCAAATGCTGTTGTGATTATAAGAAGGTTTCAACTGACTACATGATCCCGTCCGTAGAACGGGTACACAGCTAGTAGATATTAAAAATTGAATTAGTGGTAAATAATACGCACCGTTTAGTCAGTAACTGTTTGTAAAATACTCACTATGAGTAATATGCTAATGCTTTCAGTTTGAAGAAGCTGCCAGGGAGGTGGCGGATGAGATCACAGCACCAAGACCTGAAGGAGAAGAACATGTAGAGGACATTCAGATTCTATTGAGTTCTGATGCTCTCCCTTCTTCCCTCCGCAATGTCAAGGTGAGTACCACTTTATACTTGGAACATTTTCCTCTGTGTGTTGTAAAAAATGTGCTAACTTTTAACAAATTCTCTAACTATAAAAAAAATCATTTTGCTGTAATGTAAAATTGTCGATGTTGGTCTTGTTGAGATTCAAACCTGAACAAAAGTTTTGACCCATCTCATCAGGAAATTGTCAAAACGGTTTTTTGTTACATAATTTGTTTGGCTTCTGTAGCAGTAGAGGTTTTTAAAAGTCGTATGTATTTCATCATGTCCCAGGTAGAAACTGCAGGGTATGTACATAGGCAAATTTAGGATTCAGAAGCGTGTTCAGTGTTATAATTATTTAGCAATTAGGGCCTAGATAAAGTAATGGTGTTTGTTGAAAAAATAAAGGTAGGTTTCAGGAGTCTAAATACAATAACATTATAAAATATGTTCTCGATTATTCCTTAGAAACTAATAATGAACCTTTAATATACAAACCTCACATTTTGTACTATTTGAATGTCATTCTTAATTAGAGTAACTTTTCTAGATTAGATTTACTAGATTTTTTTATCAAGGCCAAAAATAATAGAGTGAACAATAATGAAGCTAACCCCAATACTCTATTTTGTTATCATTGGTTTTTCTTCTTTGAGGGAGAGGTTGGAAAATACGCACACAGATGGCTAGCGGGTTTAAGACCCAAAGACTACCCACTCAAAACCTCCTACTCTTCAAACACTATCCTGGGAACACTTTTTGCACTTCATCAGAACTAGGCCTACGCCCAAAGGGCATACTCCATGTCTAGCCATTTATTTCTTATACAATCTAGACTGCAATTCGATCCAGATTTTTTTACTTGAAGAATATTCTGGACAAAGTGCGACCAGCAGTCCCAGTTGTCCTCACCCTCCATAAAAATCTCACACATCGATTCAAACGACAGCACACCAAGATGTTGGAGGATCATATCCCATCGTGGACAGTGGAAGAACGTGTTTTCCGCGTCGTGGGGAACGCCCGGGCAGTAATTACAGTCAGGTGAATTAGACTTGGCCGTCAAGTGCAGCTACGATTGAAAATAGTCATGACCTCACAAGAACTGCGTGAGGTAGTAGTCAATTCGCCGTGCCACCGTTCCATCCACGGTTGGACCTGCCGGATGAGTCAGGCAGTCCAACGTCCTCAAGTCTCCCTTTCCCAGCTCTCTTAATTGTATTATAAATACGGGCCCGGACTGGGACCATGTGGGGCCCTCAGCTATGCTGTGGAGGGGCCCTTTACAGGGGGATTATTTTTTGATTAGATTCATTGTAAACAAATTTTTTTCTCACTATTTTGTCATTTATAAGAAGGAAGAAATTTAGATAGTTACGAGAGCTCGCCCCGTGGTCGAACACTCGACCAAAAGTATGTATTGTGCAAACTTCTCTACTTTTACCCCACGCTGTAAATAAAACATGTGATTGGAATTTCCTCCATTTGTTTAGATTTTCTGTTTATATGTTGTTGTTATTTCGTTACCAACATTGCAACCCATAAGACCCATGTTGAATTTTTTAAATTTCAAATTCATTTTACGTGCTTATTTTTGGGCCTATTTTAATGTATAATGGGATTCTGCACATCTACAGGAGAATATCTTTCATTTTGTACCAACAGCGTGTAATTCGTTCCAGTTTTATGGCCAGGCTAGCTGTCGTAAGTTTTGCAAAAGTTTTTTAGTATATAAGATTTATAAAAATATTAGAGTATTTACTTAGCCTATTATATTTTATTCAGATCAACTTTATTATTTGTTTAAAACAATATTTACATTATTTTTAGGATACTACAAAAATACAATACACATGCTGTAGAAGTGGCAATAACTGTTATAACGGAGTTCAAATTAAAGTGCTATTATTCACACCAAAGTTAATAAATTGTGTCATTTGTGTGATAATAATAATCACCAAAAGATTTTAGGGATTTGAAAAATAATACTAACAGGACAAAGACTGTATTCATCAGTATTCAGTAGTAGGCCTACTTAACAAAAAGCAAAAATAATAAACTATAAATACACATAACATGAGTCATAATACATGGAATATTCACAAAAATTATACACACATTCACAATAAGCACTGTCTACAAGCTGAACATTTGCTCACAAATGCATACATATATACTAGTGGTTGTTAAGTGGTCGAAAACTCGACCAAAAATATGTAATGTACCCGCATTGAATATTGGATACTTAAGTAGACATTCCATCTATATGGACCAGCAGTTATTTCAGCTATTTAAAAACTCAAAACGATGTAATCATAAACAACAACTCGTCCCCCAGTTATATAACTGAACAATAAAGCAAAAATCACAAAATTAACCCTAAAATAGTAGGAACTAAATTTCGTTGACACTTCTGATCAGTGTTACCAACATGAACTAGTTGTACAATAATTTATTCCACTTTTGTCAGCTAGTCTAAGGTTGTATTTACCATTCATAACCAAGTTGTATTTTGTTGTTTTAATTCCAACTGCTTATATTTTGCCATTTATTACCTTATTACCAAAGCTGCGTTGTTGACCAGCATAGCTGGATAAACTGTGTCAATTTTTTTAAATATAAATATTAATTATTTACAACAAAATAAAACTTGTATCTTTCAAGAAAATAAATTTGAAAGTTTCAAAAATAAAATAAAAACTTGGCGGGTGACTACGGATGTGATTGTACACTCTACCATTTGTTATCAAAATACTCTCTCACGGAGTAGTATGCTCCTTGAAGAAGCCCATCTCGTACAACCCTGGCAAACTTTTTTTCTGGAAGACTGCTGATCTCTGGGGGGAGCTTGTTGAACAACTTCCAAGAAAAAGCAGGAAAACGGCGTTGTGTTCCCAAGTGGCGGAATCTAGGGATGTCAATTTTGCTTCTGCTACGTGTATTATAGCTATGAACATCTCCTCTGGTCTTTGGTAGCTCAACGTTCGACCTGACGTGTACAAGGGAGGAGAATATATACTGACCAATAACAGTATGCACCTTTAGCCTTCTAAAGATTGGCTTACAGTGTTTCAAAGGAGCGCTAGATGTTATGACTCTCAAGGCAGATTTTTGTAGTCTGAGCACTTCATCACACCCTGAAGCATGGCCCCAGAGAAGTATGCCGTAAGTGATGTGACTATGAAACTGTCCGTGGTAGATGTTTATAAGAAAGGCATCACTTAAGCTACTCTTTAGCCTACGCAGCAGAAAGACAACTCTAGATAACTTTTTGCATGTTTCGTCAATTTGAGGTTGCCAACTTAATTTCCTGTCTATGGTGAAGCCTAGAAGTTTAACTTGTTGGGGTTGGTGGTGTTGTGATACGGCCAAATCTTGACTTAAACTGCAGACAATCTGTTGTGTTTTATCGGCATTAACTTGAAATTTGTTGGTTCTAAACCATATCTCTGCTAAAGCAAGGTCAGCAGCTGCCGCCTCTCTGATTCCGTCCACGCTCGCTCCTCCCCTAATCAGTGTGGTGTCGTCTGCATAAAGGAGAGCTTCCTCCCCACCACTGAAGTCGTTTATCATTAGGAGAAAGAGCAGAGGACCCAGAATTGATCCTTGTGGGACCCCATGTTCGACCAAAAGTTCACCAGAGGAAGCACCCCTAACCACAACAACCTGCTTCCTACCTCTCAAGTACGACTTGAAGGTTTCCAGTACGACACCAGTTGCTCCATAACATTCAAGCTTTCCTAAAAGGATGTCATGTGAGACAATTTCGAAAGCCTTACTCAGATCTAGGAGTGTCAGACTAATTGACTCTTGGTTCTCAAAAGCCTCATATATCCTTTCAGCAACTCGAAGCAAGGCAGTTGAAGTCGAGCGGCCCCTCCTAAAACCATGCTGAGAGTCCGAGAAGAGTTCATTCTGGTCCAGATGTTCGACCAGTTGATCATACATGATCCTTTCAAAAACCTTAGATATCACAGGAAGACTAGCAATTGGACGATAGCTGGCGATAGAGGCCCTGTCACCTTTCTTATAGACTGGCACGACTCTTGCGGTCTTTAATTCTTCAGGGAATATCCCATGAGCCAGACAGGTGTTAATAACCAGGGTTAAGGGGTCAGCAATATTACTAATCACACCCTTCAAGACTTGGGAGCTCATTCCATAGATGTCCACACTGGTGGAAGAACGAAGACTGGAAACAATGTGCCTCACCTTTTCTGTCGTCACTGGCCTCCATAAGTTGAGTGGTAGTCTGACAGTTAGACCAGCTATATTAGTGATTGCGGCTTCCGTTTGTGGCATACTTCTTACTACCTGCGATACAACATCGATGAAATAGTTGTTTATTTCATCAGGACTGTCCTCGCAACAAAAATCAACTGTCTTTTTACGCAGGCCATTTGCAATACTCCATGCGGCTTTGCAGGGTTTGTGAGCTTCAGAGATAAATTTTTCATTTGCAGCCTTCTTGGCATTACCGACCATTTGCCTGTAAATCCTCTTGGCTCTTAGGTACATACCGTAGAAACATTCCCTTTCGTCTACAGTAGCCGCACTCTTATATCTATCATTCAAAGTGATCACAATATTGCGATGATGTTGGAGTGGGGGAGTATACCAGTCCTTTAAAACAGGTCTGCTGAATGGCTTCTTAGAACCAGAAGTAGGCCTACATTTTATTCCAGAACTTTTCCTTTGTTTTAAAGGGAAAATTTTATCAAAAGTGTTGCTAAAAAGATCAAAAAAGGCCTGAAAAACACAACCAGGATCAGTCTGAACCAAAAGATTGTACCAAGAGGCATCCTTGAGCTCGTTACTTAAAATAGAGAAATGACCTACATCTACAGTCCTATAATTAAAGACATAATTCTTATGCCAAGATGGAGAGGTGGGCTTACTTACTTGATGTCTTCGTATAGTCACCGTAACTGCTGAGTGATCCGCAATCACAGGGTCTTCAACAAGTGTGAGGCAGTCTTCAGGGTAAAAATTGATTGCAGTGCTGTCAAGGCAGGCAAGCCCCCTGG